AGTAATGTAGGTGGCAATGATCACTCATCAAATGAATAACCACTGAGCAGTACCATGCACCACGCACCATTAAGAGGACTGAACGAGAAGTGAGCAAGACAGGTGGGATCTCATCCTGGGGAGCTGATATTTACAGCACAATTAGATCTTTTTCTTCTTCTGAAAACCTGAGTCAGTGTGGAAGAATGAACAAAGCTGTTAACAATAAAAGAATGTTCTCCTCCCAAATAGGGCTGGGAAAGAAAAAGAGAACATGCTTGATTCACATGTTTTTACAATAAGAGCATGGGACATAAAATACACTCTAAAAACTACTTCCATCAATCTGAGTTTGAGTAAAAGAAGAGAAAATAACAGAGAAGAAAGGCACATAAGAGACTTAAGGGAAAAGATGCTGCAAAGAATGGTGGTGCCAGTGGGGCTGGAAGACAAGAAGGATGAAAGTATCTCAGGTTGTTTTGTTTTTACCCTTTTAACCCCACGGATGTTTAAGCTCTACATAAGTTCTTTCTAAATGATAAAGCACTTGGCAAGCATATAGCTTTCCTGTTATCAGCGAACAAGTCTTCACTGAATTTGACAACTCTCACAATCACTTTGTCCTACCTTTAAGAGTGATCCCACCTTCTCACAAGAGCAGCTCCTTTCAGTTACCATGCTCAAGGTTCAGTCACGTAAACAAAGTCTGCATTGCAATCATGAGGAAGTGATATCATCTCTCAGATGTTTCTAACTTTTCAATCTTCATGCCAATCAAGTTTGTGCAAACATCTTTCATTCATAAACTTACATAAATATATTGATGGCATTTACATGTTTGATGTCATAAGATTTCATCTGAACGCATTACAAAACACCAGGTGTTTCATATAATCATCAGCAAGATCATAAGATCAGTCGTCCCCAAAAGTCCTGAAACCTCAAACTGAAATGTTACATGTCCCTGCTATAATTTCTACTCCATTTTTAAAACTCAGAGAAGGAAAAATTAATTTCGGTGTTAGTTATTACCAATATGCCAACAGCATTTATTGGTTTGGCAAAAAGATTTCATTATTAGTACACAACAAAACCTAAGTTATTTGCTGACAGAGTATCCACAGACTTTGAATTCTCCATGCTCTGAACCATTTCCTTCCACTACTGAGTTAAGTATTTAAGGAGTGTTAATCGTAACACATACTGATTCATAGACTTTATCTAGGTAACATTACTGAGATCAAACAGGAAAACAGTTTTACAATGGCATTTCAAACTGATATTCTTTCAGAAATCTGAGATTTTCTTAATGTCAATTTTCTAGAACCTAGCATGATACCTTCTTTTCAAAGATATCTGTATTGTTTATAACCTCACTTCTCTCAGATGCTCCCTGATGACCACCACTTTATATCCTCCTTATCCTGCCACATTATCACCATAGAACTTACCACCTTCAGACAAAAAATATTTAAGTGTATGTTTGCTTTTCTGTGTTCTATTCTATAGACAATGGTCCCAGCAGAGTAAGTTTCATAACAATAGGGATATTATTTCCTTGGACAGTTCCTAGCACAAAGTATGTACTCAAAATCACAGAACTTACTAAATGGATCTTGAGAATGTAAGTACAATTCCCCTAGGTAACAGATGAGAAAATGACTCTTTGAATCTGGAGGTAAAAAGGGATCTAAACTGAGAACAGAAATTACGAAGTCCACATAGCTGATGTCCCGACTGCACAGGGGCTAAGGACACAGGTTTACATAAGGACAAAGCAGATTCCAGTCCACTTATTAGTAGTAAGCTGTAGCTGTTCCATGCTTCAACTTACCCAGTAAAATAGGAATAATAATAGTATCAACAATGCTGTCATTAAGGTGACTAAATGTGGTAATAATGTGCAGGAAATACTACAATATATAGTGACCAATAAGTTTAATAAAAGGGAGATAAGGGCGGGCACAGTGCCTCAAGTGGTAGAGTACATGCGTAGCAAGTGTGAGGCCCCAGGTCCAAACCCCAGTATCACCACCAAAAAAAAAGTAATGAAAAGGAGATAACACTGTTGCTATTACATATGTACGTCATCATTCTCATCTCACTCAGGCTCCAGATCCTATTTTCTAATATTTCCCAAATAATTTATGGTGAGACTGGCTATCTACTTTCTAAGTCTCTAAACTGAGAAAGAAGCGGGTTAGATAAAATAATTGCCAGGACAAGCACAGAAGAAAAGGAAAAACTAAAAAGCTAGATTCAATAATAACGACCATGAGGAAGATGCCTAGCCACTAAGAAAAAAGTAAAATTATATCAAACACACTGTTGTAAGAAGAAAATATAATTCTAAAATTACACAAATTTACTGTAAAATGGCTTATACAAACTTTTGGTGTAAAAGACAAACTTCTATTGTCTTCAAAATCTACCTTCTAGAGAATAGGAATAAAATAAATGAGGCATTATTACATGATTGGCTTGGATAGCTCTGCTGTAAATACCCAGCACTGTGATCTATCCGGTCTCCACAAATGTTTTTTGGGATCACTCCTCTCATATTCTGTAAGGTTCCACGTCAGGTGTGGATTTCAGGGAGGTGGGAGACAGTTCCATTACTACCACCTTGTAACAAATCTGCATTTATTAATCCTATTTCCTTTAGTGACAGAATAACCCAGGTCCTCTGAGATTAGTAAGAAAGTTGAATTTTAAAATCAAAACCACATTCCAAATTTCTTAAAAGATATTTTTTTCAATTCCTTTGTAAAAACATTGGTCACCATTTAACATACAGTGGCAACAAAAGGCATCCAGTTTACATGCATCAACAAGTCAGCAAATCGTAACACGCAGACAATGCAAATTTCAAAGGATGCATTTAACCACAGTAATACAGAAACAGCAGATATGATGAACATGGAGATCCAGTTTCAATCTGAAATATGATTCTACGTGGCAAGGAACACAAAACAATGACCACATGGAGTCACTATCTTAAAGGGAACCAGTTTCCAAAAGTCACTGTGTGCAAAGCACCATACTGGAACAGAAAAAGATGTTGCAGTTAAGGACAAAAATTAAATATCTAAATGATTCAAATGTTATTGTGGCTATAAATTATCTTTGAATGTGAAGGTTGTATATTTCATGTCTGGGCAACCCAAATAATCAGGCAGATTTTTTCAATTAAACTGGCAGATTCTGTTAATAATTTAAATTCTACTATTAATAGGACTGGATTCTCTTTTTACTTTTTGAGGTACCAAGGGATTGAACCCAGGGTCTCACACATGCTAGGCAAGTGCTCATAAACCACGCTCATACTCCTTTTGTATGTATTTTGTTTTTGAGATAGTGTCTTGCTAATGTTGCCGAGGCTGGCCTTGAACTTGTGATTCTCCTGCCTCTGCCTCCCAAGTAGCTTGCATTACAAGTGTGAGCTGTGTATAGCTTGGACTAGATTATTTTCAAGAGCAAAAGAGAGGAAATCAGTAATCAAAAGTTCTTTCTAAAATTACAGACCAAGTTTCTGGATCTGGGATTTAATTAATAGAAGAAAAGTTAAGCACCACAATAAAATACTTTTTTCAAAAAACAGAACTTGCATGAATATGCAAATTAGGAACAAAACCACTTATATACATACTTACACATACAAAAATTTAAGTAAGTGCTGTAATCCTATTAATCTGAAATTTTCTTTTTTGTGTCTATATGTAATATTATGTTGAAGACACAAACAGAATTAAGATCTCAAGTTGTGTAATCCTAATTTGATCAATGAGAATGCCGTATTATTTGTGCATATGTATACTGTACAGTTTCTTCTTGACTTCAAAACCTGTGACTAATGGATAGCACTAGGCCACTCTGAAGTGCTCTGAAGTGCTCAGGAGACGCCTCATGGGAAAAAAAGGTCTCCTCTTGAGAAGGTGCAGGGATTCCAGCCACACTGCTGGTGGGAGTGTAAATTAGTCCAGTCACTATGGAAATCAGTATGGCTGTTCCTCCAAAAACTAAAAGTAGACATGCTGTACGATCCTGCCATACCGTTCTGGGCACATACCTGAAGGAACCGAAGCTAGTGTACCAGAGACCTCTGCACACCCGTGTTTATTACAGCACTGCCCGCAGTGGCCATGTCATGGACTCGGCTGACAAGCCTGGGGCCCTCCTACAAGACTGTCTTCTTTGCTTCTGTTCAGCAACATAAATAATTTCAATAACCAGAAGAATAAATTTTAATTTCAGTTTCTCTCTCTCATGATGCATTTACCCCATTACAGGTGCAAGTAATTTTGTAGCATGTATAACAGACCACATGCTGAAAACCTTAAAAGGTTCAAAAGTTGACATTTATGATTCATACATGATTACACTCAGGTTAGATACACAAGAATGGAAACAATCAACTTTAACTAAGCATATGCTTTAAACACCACAAAAGAAGAAAACAGAAGTAAAAAGACCAAAAATGGGAAAAAGGATTTCTCCTCACCTGACTTTTGACTATGCAGCCAAAAAGCAAGATAGAAAATATTTTTTATTTCAAAAGAAATTATACAGTAATAAAATTCACTAAACAAGGTGTAATGGGATTAGGATCATGAGCATCCTATTCCATTCAGGTAACACTTTGGAGGGGGTAGAAATCCTTCCCAAACAACATAATTTATATCTCACTAACCTTCCATATATCATTTCAGCTTATTCCACTTATACCAGACCCTTTTGATAGTCTCTATTTTCTACTTCTCTAAAAAAAATTTTTAATCTGTTTTTTTTTTTCTTTTTGGCAGTTCAGGGGCTTGAACTTGGGGCCTCATGATTGCTAATCAAGTGCTCTACACTTGAGCCATTCCCCAGTCCTTTTTACTTTAGGTCATTTTTCAGATAGGGTCTCATGCTTTTTTCCTAGGCTGGCCTTGGGCCATGATCCTCCTACCTGTGCCTCCGACAAAGTTGGTATTATAAATGTGTTCCACCATGCCCAGCTATTGCTTGAGATGGGGTCTTGCTTTTTTTTTTTTTTTTTTTTGGCCTGGGCCAGCCTCAAACCTATCCTCACAATCTCCAAATCTACATCTCCTAAGCACCTAGGATTACAGGTGTGAACCACCGTACCTAACCTTTTTAGCCTAATATACAACTTTCACATCAAATTCCTTAGTTTACACTAATTCCACAATCCCTATTTTTTAAAGACTGTAAAAAATCATTTTCTTCCCTTCAGGAGTCAAAACCAATAATGTAATTATTCAAAAATGGGAAATTAAAGGCAAAAAAATCAACTAGAAATAAGTACACTTGTTAGCATATATGGTTTTATGTAAGGGGAAGACCACATAATTGCTCTTTCTGATTAATCTCTGGTTCTTAAGACAGCATGGTCAGCAAATTAAAATGAGTAACATACACATAAAATATTTCAAATATGTACCAATTTTGAAGAGCTGTAAGCGTTAAGAAAATAACTGAAATTACATGATTTTAAATATTTACTGTGAAACAGTACAAAATTGATGTTGCCAAAAAGGGAGTAAAAAAATCTTTAACTGATATTGAACATCTTAAATAAGTTGGAAAACCCCACGGTTGGATTGTAAGCATCAGAGAACAATGACGACGACGACAACACAAATGTCCTCATGCATGTGCACATGGTTAAGTTACATAAGCAAACCCCAAGTCAGTACAGTACATCAGTAAGCGAAACTTAAATAATACTCTGATACATAAAGAAAGAGAAGGAGAGATAAAATGTCGACTGCCATTGACAAAAAAGCATCTCAACAGTTTACACAAAATGATACCAGTTTTTTAAAAAGATGTCATCAGAAGACCAAGCCACAATAAGTTAGTGTTTCCCAGAATATGTGCTCCATTATTTGATCCCACATCTATACGCTGTTACTGTCTTAATTCCTAATGTTGAGACAGCATATTTAATAACTGAGGTACATTAGTTTACATCTTTTTATAGGTTTTCTAAGAGAATTAATTTTTCTTTTCCAGTTTTTCATCTTCTTCACCTCCTCCAAAGAAAAGCAAAGGAAACATTCCTAGAATGCAGCCGATCGTCACCCCAACAGCTTTGCCCTGAGGAAAGAGAAGAGAAAGTTTTTTAAAAGTTACTCTGTGAAAGAGGAACCTTTGCTTAAGTACCTATGACGACAGACATCATCACATGCTATGAAACTCAACTGTGGCTGCACTTCTGTTGAGCACAGCAACATAATACAAAAAATAGGCTATGGAAAATATTTTAGAGCAGGTCGATTTCAAGTTCAAACTAACCAGGGAAATATTTTAATTGTCATAAAAATAACATCAAAGAACAATTTGAACACATTTATTGTCAGAAAATAGGAAGGCAGGAGAAAAAAACCTCACCAACTACTCTCAATATATTTGGATTTGCAACCCCTTACGTATTCCCTTTCAATGTTTATTCCCATGTATACTTAATTATATGTAGACATAATAAATACAATTATATAACACAGCTTTGTTTTCTGCCTCACTATACCTCCTACTGCAATACATGATAACAAATTATTTTCCAAACTGCTGCATAAATTTACTATAAGGACTTGTATATCTCACTGATATGTTGGGTCTACTTAAAGCTCCCCTTACCATAGGAAAAAACACAGTACTTTTTCACAATTGTGAATGACACAACAATGAACATTCTTACACAAAGTTCTCCCCAGTGATTTATTTGAAATCAAATGTTAATTTGTGCATCTTCAAGAATATTAAATTTTTTGCATCTCTACCTTTGACAATGCCAAATACACATATACCAATTTCAATACATATACATGTATATACATACAACCAATTTTTCTGCAACCTCCCCTATATTACGAAAATGTTTAAATTTTTCTCTAAATGATGTTTTAAAATTTGCATTTATAATGACTACCAAGTTTAAAGACTTTTCAATTAAGTTGAATTTCTTCATACAAACATTTATTGAGAATCGACTAACGTGCCAAACTTTGTGCTGGGTGTGCAAGGGCAGTTGGTCTCTCTCCAACATGGCTTCCATTCAGGTAGACAGAGAAAGACAAAATAATCCTACCAGACACTATGATAGCTATATAGCTCGTGTGTTGAATAAAATGTGTTCTTCTATGTATTTCCATTTAGCTATCAGATAAATTTCAAAGTAGACATTAATGATTTGACAATAGCTTGCACAACACTCTTCTGACTCTATCATTTTGGGGGTTTTGTTGGTGGTGGTGGTGGCAGTGGTAGTAGGATGTCAATGCTTAATATCAATAATTAAATCTGTCATTCTCATTATGTCAAAATTTTCAAAGGTATTATTCCCCCAGAGTTTTAAAAGGACATAGTGGTAAAGTTAATCTAGATTCTTATTTTGTCCTCATGTTTGTATTCATTTATATATTAATAAAGAGAACCCTGACCTCCCCATATACATGAAGTGATTGACCATGCTAACTGGCTCCATTTCCACTTCCCACCATCCTGTCAGATGCTTTTTCCATCATCCACAGTGGCCAAGGCATTCCTCATTCCTGCTCACTTTAGCAATGCCACTTAGTGAGTGCTGACCTAATTACCTGATGAGATAAAGTCAACAGGACAGGAAGTAAGGAAAGAAGTGATTATCCCCTTCTGATTCACTGATCCAGGGCCTGAGACATGCTTTTCTGTTGTAAAAATCAGTTATTTATATGTTATTGGGTCTTACAATACACCAGGCTCTACACTGGGGCCAATCTGAGAAATTGAGTCATCTGTAAAACTGTTCTGTCAGAAAATATTTTCTGAGTTTCAAATAACCAAATTATAAATGAAGTTTTAAAATGTAATTTGTAACTTGCCTATGAATTTGTGTACATTCTATCTTAATGAGGAAACTTCAGAGTTAGTTTCTGCTATGAATGGATAGATGGCTGATCACTACCTTCAAATACTTCAGGCTGTATGGAATCAAAATGCTGTTACATGGAAGAGTTAATCCTAAGGGAAAAACAAGCAGAGTCTACAACTAAGGAATGGAATTGCTGCTTCCATATGTTGGTGGGGACTTTTATTTTATCAGAGCATAGGATAAATTAAAAAAACTAGTTGAGCAACTGAGGTACTTTTGTCATAGAATAAGGGAAATGAGTCTGCTTATGATATAGAGAGAACAATTATCAATCACGTGAGGAGAGCCCAGGAAAATCAACTTCTGATCCCAACTCTAAAGCTAAAATTTTAACCCAAACTGGTACAAAGTTAGAACATCCTTTTTCTCAACAACTCTGGCTGGAATCTGCTACCTAGTCTCACTTCAATTTTCTTAAATTGCAGGATAGGGACACACCAAATAATGAGTCCAAAATTAAATCCTACTTTCTTAAAAGACTTGCTATCCTTTATAAAATAAAAATCTTAATAAGCAAATAGGTCCTCATTTCATTTCTATACACTCTTCCTACATTTCAGTTGAAAGGTAAACACATTCCTACTATAGTACTGATTCTTTTACTACTCATATTTTTAAAGTAGAAATTATGGAAATTTCAGATGTCCTCCTTTAAGAAAAATAACTATTAACTACTACCATTAGCAACCTAAAAATCTACAAAAGTCTTAAAGTTGATAAATAAACCAGGCATGGTAGTACAGGCCTATAATACCAGCTATTCCAAAGGAAGCAAGAAGATAGTGAGTTCAAGATCAGTCCAGGCAAAGTTAAGACCCTATCTCAAAAACAAAAGGGCTGAAGGCATGGCTAAGAAGTTGAGTGCTGTGTAAACCTAACAAAAGATGTGAAAGACCTCTACAAGGAAAACTATACACTTCTGAAGAAAGAGACTGAGGAAGACTATCGAAAGTGGAGAGATCTCCCATGCTCATGGATTGGTAGAATCAACATAGTAAAAATGTAGATACTCCCAAAAGTAATCTACATGTTTAGTGCAATTCCCATCAACATTCCAATGACATTCATCAAAGAGATTGAAAAATCTACTGTTAAATTTATATGGAAACACAAGAGGCCACGAATAGCCAAGGCAATACTCAGTCAAAAGAACAATGCAGGAGGTATCACAATACCTGACTTCAAACTATATTACAAAACAATAACAATAAAAACAGCATGGTACTGGCACAAAAACAGACATGAAAACCAGTAGAACAGAATAGAGGATCCAGATATGAAGCCACACAACTATAACCAACTTGTCTTTGACAAAGGAGCTAAAAATATACGATGGAGAAATAGCAGCCTCTTCAACAAAAACTGCTGGGAAAACTGGTTAGCAGTCTGCAAAAAACTGAAACTAGATCCATGTATATCACCCTATACCAAGATTAACTCAAAATGGATCAAGGATCTTAATATCAGACCCCAAACTCTTAAGTTGATACAGGAAAGAGTAGGAAATACTCTGGAGTTAGTAGGTATAGGTAAGAACTTTCTCAACGAAACCCCAGCAGCACAGCAACTAAGAGATAGCATAGATAAATGGGACCTCATAAAACTAAAAAGCTTCTGTTCATCAAAAGAAATGGTCTCTAAACTGAAGAGAACACCCACAGAGTGGGAGAAAATATTTGCCAACTATACATCAGACAAAGGACTGATAACCAGAATATACAGGGAACTTAAAAAACTAAATTCTCCCAAAACTAATGAACCAATAAAGAAATGGGCAGTGAACTAAACAGAACTTTCTCAAAAGAAGAAATTCAAATGGCCAGAAAACACATGAAAAAATGCTCACCATCTCTAGCAATAAAGGAAATGCAAATTAAAACCACACTAAGATTCCACCTCACCCCTGTTAGAATAGCCATCATCAGCAACACCACCAACAACAGGTGTTGGCGAGGATGCGGGGAAAAAGGAACCCTCTTACACTGTTGGTGGGAATGTAGACTAGTACAACCACTCTGGAAAAAAATTTGGAGGCTACTTAAAAAGCTGGACATCGATCTACCATTTGATCCAGCAATACCACTCTTGGGGATATACCCAAAAGACTGTTACTCCAGAGGCACCTGCACATCCATGTTTATTGCGGCACTATTCACAATAGCCAAGTTATGGAAACAGCCAAGATGCCCCACCACTGACGAATGGATTAAGAAAATGTGGTATCTATACACAATGGAATTTTATGCAGCCATGAAGAAGAACGAAATGTTATCATTCGCTGGTAAATGGATGGAATTGGAGAACATCATTCTGAGTGAGGTTAGCCTGGCCCAAAAGACCAAAAATCGTATGTTCTCCCTCATATGTGGACATTAGATCAAGGGCAAACACAACAAGGGATTGGACTATGAGCACATGATAAAAGCGAGAGCACACAAGGGAGGGGTGAGGATAGGTAAGACACCTAAAAAACTAGCTAGCATTTGTTGCCCTTAACGCAGAGAAACTAAAGCAGATACCTTAAAGCAACTGAGGCCAATAGGAAAAGGGGAACAGGTACTAGAGAAAAGGTTAGTTCAAGAAGAATTAACCTAGAAGGTAACACCCACGCACAGGAAATCAATGTGAGTCAATGCCCTGTATAGCTATCCTTATCTCAACCAGCAAAAACCCTTGTTCCTTCCTATTATTGCTTGTGCTCTCTCTACAACAAAATTAGAAATAAGGGCAAAATAGTTTCTGCTGGGTATGGGGGGGGGGTGAGGAAGGGGGCGGAGCGGGTGGTAAGGGAGGGGGTGGTGGCATGGGGGAGAAATGAACCAAGCCTTGTATGCACATATGAATAATAAAAGAAAAAGGAAAAAAAAAAAGAGAAGTTGAGTGCTTGCCTAGCATACATGAGGCCCTGGGTTCAAACCCCAGGACAAAGAAAGTAAAGTTTATAAATAATTTTTAAAACAAAGAACTTCAACATTGTTTAACATAAATCATTAAAATAAAGTACAAAGTATTACAGTAAAGGGCAATAGGTATGGCTCAAGTGGTAGACAGTTGGCCTAGCAAGAATATACCCTGAATTCAACCCCTACTCTGGCCAGAAGTACTTATCTTTAGTTTAGACATTTAAGGCGATAAAAGAGAAATTTAATTCGATATTACTTAAATATATATTTTATATTCTCTATAGAATTTTTCATGCATGAATTCTATTTACTCCAACAAATTAATTTTAACACCTTCACTAAAACAAATTCAGTCTATATCTTATCTTCTTCCTTGCCCTCCATTAACATTTCGACCCACTGGCATTTGATTTTTCTCTCATCACTCCATGGGAATTGCTCAGAGATGCCCAGCAATGAACAACTAGAGTGCTTCCTTGACATCAGCGGGGGATTAGTTCCAGGACCCCCCAAGGATACCAAAATCTGTGAGCGCACCACTCCATCCGTAAAATGATGTAATAATTACATATGACCTACACATACCCTTCTGGATAGTTGAAATCATCTTTAAGTCACCTACACTTCCTAATACAATGTAAGTGCTATGCAAACTGTTGTTATACTGTACTGTCAAGGGAATGAGACAAGAAAAATCTGCACATGTTCAGTACGGATGCAAAATTTGTCAATATTTTTGACCCACACATGATTGAATCCATGGATGCAGAACCTGCAGATACAATGGCCAACTGTATATACTGGGGTTTGAAGTCAGGGCCTCAAGCTTGCTCAGCAGGTGCTCTGCCACTTGAGCCACACCTTCAGCCCTGTTTGTGTGTTAGGTATTTTCAAAAGATAGAGTCTCCTAAACTATTTGCCTGGGTTGACTTTGTACTCTGATCCTCCTGATCTGGAGCCTCCCAAGTCACTTGATCTCTTTAAAGCAAGAGAAACCTATCATCATAGGTTGCTTCTGAAAAACTTTTTTCTTGGAAACATCCCTAAAACCTTGGCTCTTAGGATTGCTTATTCTGAACATTCCCTCTGAAACAACAGTATTCAAATTTCAGAGTGCAGCCTAAAGGCCTGGACAAACACAAATTGCTGGGTGTTACCTCCAGAATTTCTTGTTATAAATCTGTAGCAGACAGACTTTAAGGTAGTTTCCAGGATCCCTTTCTCTTGGTAATCACGTCTTTACATAATCTCCTCCCATAGAATATGGGCATGGGGCTGGGCATGTTGGTGCCCTGTAATCCCAGCTACTCAGGAGGCAGACATTGAGAGGATCAGTTTTAGACCAGAACAGTCAAAAAGTTAGCAAGGCCCATCTCAGTCAACAATCCAGGCAAAGTGGTGTGTGCCTATAATCCTAGTTATGTAGGAAGTGCAGATAGGAGGATTGCTGCCTGAGCCAGCCCCAGCCAGCCCTAGGCAAAAATGCAAGATCCTATCCAAAAGATAACTAAAGCAAAAATGTGCTGGCAGCATGTTTCAAGTAGTAGAGTATTTGCCTAGTAAGATGCAGCAAGTTGAGGCCCTGAGTTCAACAACCCCCCTCCCCCGCAAAAAAAAAACAAAACAAAACACAGGCAGGATATTCTATTTGCTTTTAACAAAAAGAAAGGTGATGGGGTTTTACTCTTGTGGTTACATTCCATTGGGCTCCAAGACTCCTTTCCCTTGCTGGATTTGAAAAAGCAAGCTGCTATGCTGAGAGGCCAATGTAAAGGCCACGTGGCAAGGTGCTGCAGTGAACTCTAGGCAGTGAAGGAGGTCTCTAGGAGAGGAGGTGGCCTCTAGCCAACAGATCACCACAAGCTGGGATCTTTACAGGCACAAGGAAATTAATTTTGCTAAAGTCCTGTGTGAGCTTCAAAGTGGATCCATCAGTTCCACTCAGCTGAGTCTCCACACAAGAATCACATTCTGCTGCACACTGACTGCAGCCTTCTAAAGGAGCCACTCACTCTGTCTTGTTTCCTGACCCTCAGAAATCAGAGAATAAATACATGCTGTTATAAATTGCTAAATTTATCATAATTTTCTTACACAGCAATAGATAGGCCTAAAATGGACCTGAAAGTCTGAACAGCTAACAAGTTCCCATGTAAAGTTGTTCCCACTGGTCCACACTTAGAGAACCACTGCCTTATAAAATCTCACTATCTCCCATGGTTGTAACTCTTACCTGTCCTTTCAGGGAGGCTTATAGTGATGATCCTATTAACATTGCAGTCTGCCTGTCTTGTACTCCCAACCTTTTTTTATTCCCTTACACTGCTTTTTTAATTTGCATATTAATGAACTTCTAATATAGTAAATATTTTATTCATCAGATCTTTTCATTGTCTCTTTCCTTGATGGAACACAAGATCCACCAGAAAGAAAGCTCCTGTCTTGTTAACCAATGCATTTAAAACTCCTAGATCAGTACATGGCACATAGTAAGTAAGCAAAAAATATGTGTTGAATCAATAAATAATGATATCCATCATTTCTAATTCAGACTTCTCTAACTCTTGACTTTTTATCCAAATGTCTACTAGGCATTAACCACATGAATGTCCTGTGCTAGCATCTCTAATTCGACATGTCCAAAACAGAGCTCATTATTTATTTTCTCTTGCAAACTTGTTCTTCTTTCTTTTCTTGACTTATGGTAGCCTCATGACCCATCCAGTTACCTTCCTATTCACGTCTCTGCTGGCTCACCATCACCTACACACAAGGTTCAAGCTCCTTAGCAGAGCATACATAATGCCTTTCCCATCTGGTCCATGGTTCTCTCTCCAGTGCTTTTCCCACTATTTCTACTCACAACTACTGCAGAGTATATTGGTGAAATACTTCTTATATTTCTATGAATATTCCTTTTGAAATTATTCCCTTCTACTTGTGAGTCAATATCCTTTAAACTCTCTTCTTCCTCTAGTAAATGCCTTATCAATAATTCAAAAATCACTTTAGATCCAATAATTACCAAATCTCTCCACCAAAAGAAATTTCTCCCCACAGTGTTAATTACCTTACTTGTGCTATTGCTGTATCTTGTGCATAATTGAGTGCACGTGTCATACTAAGTGTCATACTACATGTCTGGTTCTCTATCTAAGCAAGTTCCTCAAGGATAGCTATAGTTTATTATTCATTTTCTGTCCTTTATCCTCTAGCACATAACAGATATTCATAATATTAACTGAATTGCATAAATATTTTTAAAAATTAAGTATATTTATAAGGAGCCAATGTTTTTGGAAAACATTATTGTTTTCCAAAAATTGCCAATGCCTGGATAATTTATCTAAGAACATCACTCAAATCAGTTTTAGTTTCAAAGTTTTCAAGGTCCTGAGCCATATCATGCTCTGACTACTCAAATTCATGGTCACAGCCATATAAAAGTCACTTACCAAATGTGTACTAACACGTGTTTGCCACATGTCAACTTGCTTCGGTGTAAGATCAGGAATTGAGAGGCCTAACCTGGAAGCCAAAGCTTCAACATAACCTGCAAGTCTTTAAAAAAAAAAAAAAATACAAGAGTACAGGAAACAGGTTTTTAAAGAGACATGCAAGTATCATAAAATACTAATTACTACAAAGAGAAACAAGGTAATTTTACATCTATAGTTGGCAGTCTAGAATGGGCATAACACTTCTTTCAACTTTTTTTTATTGGGTATAAATATATCCAATTTAGAAATATTTTAATATTAAAAAACTTAATATACAGGTAAATTTCCCTAGAACAATTATTCTCCATCACTACCTCAAGGTAGATAAAAATTGTTTACAAATATTTATAATTTCTGCCCTTATCCCAAACTGAAAAGTAAGTTAATAACTATTATCAGAAAACAAAAGTTTTACTATTCATCAAATTGGTACCAATTGATGGTACTAAGAATGACAGCCTAGAATTTTCAGGCTAACTTTAAGCATATATCAATCTTATACTACCATCACTTATAGAATACAATCTTACTTTATGAGCTATGAGAAAGAACAAAGCTAGCTAATTAAATTCTGCATACTATCAATAATTAGATAGATCCTGATATCAGATTTAAGTTTTTTGAAACTGTATCTAAGAATCCATAAAAGGTGGTATTTGTTATTTGGTGATAGCAAAAATGGGACAAAGAAATAGGTCTCAAATATAAAGACTTCTAGCAATACCTTCATTAATCAAAATTAATTATTGTATATTAAAATCTAAAACTAAATGGCCTTAAAATCTACCAGATCATTTGGTTCTATTAAGTATATCAGAAAGCTATATAGTAGCTATAATATTATCATTATTAACCCTAAAGCTGGAAATTCAGAAATGGTGATATCATGCTACATTTATGTCACCAATTCCAGGAATATAAAATTTCAATCATGGCCTTACAGCACAGAAACTTCAACAGTAGCTTTGGGCCCAAACTCAAGCACAGAATCTTAATATAGAGGTTTAAAGCACTCATAAAATTGCCTTTGCCTTGATTGCAGGATTAGACATCTACTATACTAGCACAAATCCAAACCTCATATGTACCATACTTGAATTAATCAAGGAAGGAAGATAAAGTCAAAGACAGAGCAAGAAAAAGATGCTCATCAAATTAATTAATGTCAATTCTTCAGTTTTCCCCAAGCTCAGGAAGCAGACCAGGCCATCTGCCACTTGGAAGACAGAAAGAGAGAAAACTAGTCTTTTCTGAATAGCCATCCTTGGTTTGTTTCATCACTTCTGCCACATGAAATAAGAGAGAAAATGGCCAACAAATTCATGGTCTGACATCTGAAGGTTTGGCTCAGTGGCATGTGCAAGGCAGTGGGTTCAATCCCCAACATCAGTGTGTGTGTGTGTGTGTGTGTGTGTGTGGGTTGTATTTCCTTTGAAAGTTCCACTCACTAGCAAACATGTTCAGTCAGAATCCTCTAATTTGGGCCATATTTCTCATTTTTGGGCTTTGTAGGAATGGGGTGGAGTGGAATACTGATGGGGGTTATTGCATCTTTAGTAAAGGAAAATTCCATTATGGTAGTTTTAGGATATGAGAATGCCAGGGCACAATCCCAGAAACACTAAGTCTTTATGACGGGGGTATAAAACAAGAATCTATTTGATGCACACCAAATATTTAGTACTACTGATTTGGGGATATTAAATTTAAAGATTTTGTTCTCAAATACAAAGATAAATATCTTTTTTATGCTTCTCAAGTAAAGGAAAATGGAGAAAAAAGAATACGTAAGTAAACAAATGCACAAGTGAATAAGTGAATGGACCTACCCAAGTCCAGCTAAATCTGACACAAGATTTCCCAAAGCAGCAGCTAAAAATTTGAAAAACGGACAAGCGAATTATTACACAAAAGTCAGAAAAATCAAGACCGTACATCACTATGAAATCCATACAGCCCTGATCTGGAACTACAACAACTACCTCCAAAGCAACTCATTGGCGAGCTCTGGATCTCAAGAGTTCAAAACAGAGCACAATTCTGAAAATGTAATACTACACCTCCATTAAGTTTTTTTCTGTTATACCAGCCAGTTTCCATTTTCATTTTAATACTAAAACATTTGCACAGTGTTTTGTAGTTGTATCTTTCGTATAGTGTCTTTTCATATGGTATTTTCAGGGTATTCAGACACTTGGAAGTTAAAGAATAAAGCCATACACAACTCTGAATTCAAGACAGTCAAGGAAAAGAAAGGTTTCTTTCACTAACTCATTGACCTCATGCTTTCTATACAATAAACATAGAACCATTTCCAAATTTTACCATCATGAAGAATAAGCTAGTAAAAAGGGGAGAAAAGGAGACAGAATTTCAATTTTGTGTTTTGTTTTTTTATTTTTCTATGCAACTAGAAAATAAATAACCGAATAAGAGACAAATTTAAAGATTGTGGGATAATATTGAATTAGCAGAAGAACTTGTCCTAAGACAATGTGATACAGAATTGTTACCCATTAACTAACATGAAGTACTGAAAATTTCTCAGAAAAAAACACTACATATACAAAACTAAGAATCAGAAGATTAGGATTAAGGAGATAAACTGACAGACATCTCAATGAGTAAATTACCCTCTTCTAAACCAAACTTATCAAAATGCTTTAAATATGTAGACAATGGAATAACATTTGCTACTATTAAATACCTGCCATTGTTGAAATTCCCAAAATAATTCCAATAGACAACTCGATATGGGTTCCCTGAAAAATGATTAGGAAAAAAATCTTAAAAATTAAAACTAAAGTGACTATAAAAGAATAGTGAAACATTAATAAAGACAGATAAAATAGTTAAATCAACATGTTAGTGCCCTAAAATTATAAATATAAAATATGCAGAAATATATATGAGATAATTCACTTTATTCAATGTGTAATTCATAAATAACAATTTATTCATTAAAATTGGGCCTTTATAAAAATTAAAATTAGCAACACATATGAAAATTAATTCATCATTAAGAATATAGAATTTGTTTTTCTATCACAGAGAAACATGTTGTAAAGATCTTTGAACAAAAAGAAGACCAACTCACATATCCTTAAATTGTGAGTAAGTTGTTACTCACTCTATTGAAAGATTTAAAAGACAGACTGGACCAGTTCCTGGAGAAACTGGTGTTTGTAAACAATTCAGTTCTGATTTTTGAGCAAGGCTATCAGAGAAATGATTAATTTTCACAAACTCTCTTGAATATTGACATTTGAAAATTTCTAAAAAATTTTTCAAATCTCAATGATGTTGAATGTTGAAAAAAATGAACATACTGTTTGTTATTTAGAAATATTACATTACCTATCATATATTTACAAAACTGAAAAAAGCTGAATCCTCAATTTTCTTACACTAGAACTTTTGTTTCCACCCCTTTAAAAGATAATTCTTGTTGAATATGGACCAAACAGCTTGATGCACTAAAGTTTTCCAGGCACTTAAAATTGCATGTTCTAAAGGCACCCAAAGAAACAGAGTTCTGAAAAAGGAAAAGAAAATAAAAAGAAAACAGACACAGAGAAAAAGAACAGGATGTCTATTTTTATATGTCAGTGCAGACATACTGGAGTACTATGATGGAAGAGAGGTAACTCCAGGCTACCATGAATAATAAATATATACAGCATCTTTAATCACAATGAGTCACTCAAGAAGAACCTTCTTACAATACATGCATTTAAATTTTATTTATGTGGGCTGAGGATGTAGCTCAGTGAGCAGAGTGCTTGCCTAGCATGTATGAGACCCTGGGTTTTACCTCCAGCACCGGAAAAAAAAAAAGTGCTTGATCATTTGGCTGAATTTAAGATGCATCGATAGTCCTTCTCAGGGCATGAAAACTTCAAAAAAATTCAAAGATGGTTTGAGGGCAATCAACTCTTCAATTCTTCACTTTGTCCCCACATTTACATCAAATTTTGCTGATAGGTAAGATAAAACCCATAAAGAAAACTAATAGCAGTTGAAAGTTAAACCTGGTTCATCACCTTAAAACAATTAATCTAATCCAGAATTCTAAAAAACTCTAATTAAATTTTTTTAAAAGTAATACAAAAAATGCACTAAAATATGAATTATAAAAAACAACCTAATAATATTAAAACATAATAACTATGTAACTCAAGATTTACACTTAACATTAACAGCAGCCACAATAAAGGTCTAATGTATTACAATTAGTTATACAGGAATTCTTTCTCATGACTACAACGAGGACAGCAGCCACGAAGGTACACCTAACAGTCTGTGTCTGTGGCATGGTAGGACAGAAGAATCAAGTAGCTCCTTAATACCTTAAAACAGCTACATCTGTTCCACAGTGTGAAAGGTCATCAGTGCTCAAGAAACAATAAAAAGGTAAAACAAATGTTTAAGATAGCAATGATCACTTAATCTCCCTTCTCAAAGACTGTAATTATTTGTGTATTTTAATCTCAGCAGTCTATTACAGCACCTCACTGAAAATCCTCACTGTCTCTGAACTAGTTTGCAATTATCACAGGACAGTACTTTTTGCCAGACCTTATATTCTCATCAGGTATTGAAGTTAGCAGTTTAAAATATTTACCTCAGGGCTGGGGTGTGGCTCAAGAGGTAGAATGCCTACTTGGCAAGTACAAGGCCCTGAGTTCAAGCCCCAGTACCACCAAAAAAAAAAAAAAGTAAAAACTAGTAATAAGTCCCTAAAACTGGATTTCAATGTTAGCATAGTAACAAGTTATTACAAATTTGGAGTTAACTATCTCAGGCACGGAAAAAGAGGGTACTTTCAGCTATATAAATATTGAGTCTGAGTAGCACACAATAACAAACAATACTAAAATAATTTGACTCTTGAGTTGTTTCACTTTGTCTAGTTTGATTTAGGGCTTTGGTTTTTTTTTTTTTTGACCGTGTATTAAAACACAGATATCTAATACTTTAGCTATTTATTTCAAAATAAATTAAGTGAGGGTCTTCTTCAGGATCTAGGAAGCTACTAGTTTCCCTATTCTGATCCCTCTTCAAAATATTCCTACACCCCACTTCACTCAACTTGCATCATCTCCACAATGCCCTGTAGCAAAGACAGCGTTTCAGGAGTTGAGGCGAAAACTACAATGGTTAAAACTACAATGGTTAAGATGGTAGTAATGGGGGTAAATTTGATCAAAGAATATCATATGCATGTTGTAAATACCATAATGAAACCCCTTTGTACATTAATTTATGCTAATAAATTTTTTTAAAAGATGGTAGTAATTGAGCACAGGCTATCAATAAAGAGAATCTAAAATGCTGGGCAAAATCATGGGAAACTGAAATAAGTATGTGCCACAGAGATGCTTAGACAATCTATTCATGAACACATGAAATCGTCATCTCAGCTTATAAATACATCATAGTGAAATTTTCATTACAATTATATTTGGTTTATATTAACCAAATTGTAATTTTCATTACAATTATATTTGGTTTATATTAACTATTTAAATAATCTAGATTTTAGTAGTCTGAAAAGGGCAATGTAGTTCTAAAAAAGTTTCTCATGTCACAGATGCACAAAGAGACCAATTTTATTCTTCCATGCATGTTAGGAAAAAGTCACACTCCTCAAACACTAGCATGCTGGTGTACAGTCTGGGGCACTCAGTTCATGTGGGCCACCTCTTAGAAATCTGATCTTGCCAGACCACTCACTACTGAATCCTCGTGGTTTTATCACCTCGAGTAGTGCACACGTGCAGAGCATCCTCTGTGACAGCTTATGAGCAGGAAACACTCCTGCTACGACCCTGTGAGCCCCTCCACCACGTGAACAGCTGCACTTTCTGAGTAGCTGATCCCAATCGACCTGGACATATAGGTAGACTACATAGCAAACAAAATCATTCTCTAGTCAAACAACTTTAGATATTCTTTAAGCAGTTTTTATCATCTATAAAATTCTTTTTAAGTCTCTACTTAAAACTGAATCTTCTATTTATGTCCACTTTGTGTGCAGGTGAACACAAAACCAAAAGAAGCCCTTGCAGTTTTCATGTACTTTCCACACATTCAAAACCTCAACTTTCCATTTTAGCAGTATCTACAATATAGTGTGATTATCATATAAATAATAACTAATAGAATTTTTTTGTGGTACAAAGGTTTGAACTCTAAGCTTCGCAGTTCTAGGCAGCAGTCTACTACATAAGCCACACCCCAGTTCAAACTTTTTAAAGTTAGAGTCAATGAAGCTGACTGTCAAGGGGGTCTAAAAGTCAGAGAAGCACTTTAGATTTTTCTTAAACTAGTTAAGTAAAAACTTCACCTGAAAACTTCTAAACCTTAAAATGGGAAAATAAGTAGTTGTAGTTTTCTTCCTTTCTTCCAGGATGTAGGTAATAGACCTTCAATCTACTTACTGCTAATATCTAGAAGGATGGCTATTCTAAAGTATTTCTAAAAACCATGTACTGGAAGTTGGTAATTGCCTTCTTACTAAACTATGATCAACTGATTATATTTGGAAAAAATAAGAGAAAAGTAGATAGAGAACTCAACATTTTAGAAGATTTATGTTTTAAGCATTATTTATTTGTTAGAAAAATGGACCAATTTTTCCAACACAGGTATTATTAATAATAAGAAAGGTAAAGAGCAATTATTTTGAGATTAAAGCAGCACTTTTGACTTAAGGAAGCACCTTATGTCAAAATAAACTATACCAGAAGGGGAACTTTTATTTTAATACTACATGTAACAAAGCAGAAAAAAGCGACATAGTCAATGTTCTGAATCGAAAATTAAGATCTTCTGAGTTTAAGTGGTCAGACAACAGCCAGACTGTGTATCAAAACACCCATTAAACATTTCGTAAATTAAACAATTCAATAAGGAACTAATAAATAACCTACATATATGATGACAACACAAACAAAATTAAAGAACATCGGAAAATTCTTACATACTTTTTTTCTTTAATAAAAATGTTTGAAACTTAGACCAGAATAATATAAAACTAAATGTTTGTCTTAAATACTTTGCCAAAAGTCATTAATAAATATACATGATACCTTTTAGTCAAATTAATATTGAAATAGTTTTTTAAAGGCCTTGTTTATTATATTATTAAAATTATAGCTACAGTTTATAAAAATTATTAGGAAATTGTTAACCACATTAATTTCCTTATTAACTTAAAAATAGAACTGGTTTAAGAACTACTCCAACAATTCATAATTGCATTATCCAAAAAGCCAAACCCGTTACGAAAGGTATCGCCATTGTGGATGAATACTGAAAAACATTCAAAAACAGAAAATACACTTAAGATTTCAATAACTTCAGAATGATAAAAACAGACCCACATGGTTAAGTTCTCCTAAACCAGATCTTGATAAATCTTTAGAATTGCTTTTTATTCCTTTATGGCGAATTAGATCCTACTATTTGTTATAAGTTAAAAAGCTACTTGATAGAAAGTTTATACTGGGGGAAACAAAACAAAAAAATATATATATACAACATGTAAAAATAAAACTGTTTAGGCTTTTGTGTTTTCTTATAGGGCAACACACACACATAGATAATTAGACAAGTTAATGGCGAATGAGGAACAATTAAATTGAGCATATGAGTACCACGCTTTACTTGAATTATTGTTATTGATATTCAATCTGTTTCTCTCTTATGCCTAAATATTTATTACCAGTTAAAGCTGATTGTCTATACTTAGAAATGAAAAATGCCCCAAATCACATTTCAGGGAGCTGATTGGTTTTTTTCATTAGCCAATTTTTAAAAGAAATTAGAAAAAAGATTACCACATCTTCATTACACATCTATGTACAGTCTTCTCATCTCGACAGTTCAAGATCTTTAATACTACGCAAAATCATGAAGAATTAGCATTTGCTTTTACACCAAAATGTAACTTGCCCTTTCTACAAAGGCACCAAATACCCATCTATCTAGTACATATCTGAAAGGCCAGAAATATTAAAATGCTTAGTTAAAAACTTATATTTTAGCCTCCTTTTTTCAATTTTGTATCTTTAGCACATTGTTGCAAAGCTGAGTACATAGTAGATGTTCAACCCCACTGACCTTGGAAAGAAGGAAACTTCCAATATTTTTTAGAAAATTAAAGGCAGACTGAGAAGAGATTTAAAAGTGCGTGAATAGAAAATACTTTATTCTAATTAATCTATACAACTGCTAAGGTACAGACAGTATCCAATTCAACTGAGGACTTTCCTTTAATAGAGATCAAGAATTCTGAATTTTATGCTCTATCAAAATAGTTCCTTAAGCCAATTGGGTACATGTAATAACTTGATTTTAGATTCTTTTCTTTCAGTGCAGCTAAGTTCACAGAAAATCAATAATTAAAATATAATAATTATATTTAAAAATATAATCAAAGTCACGAAAGTTCATTATCACTTTATAGCAAATCTATACCGTTAGTAGAAGTTTTTAGTAAGGTTTTAAAAACACTTCCACTCACACTATGTCATGCTATTACTGTAGTAATACTATTACTATTACTATATTCTATATTATATTACTTACAGTAATAGATTGATATGATGCTATCGTCACACCATAGACCGTATGACTGCAAGGCAGAGAGAATCAAGACAACTATCAAAGAAACTGCATATAATGAATAGCAATATAAACTATTATTAAATTATTAGCCATAATATTACATTTATGATAGTACATAATCAGGTAGTACAATAGGTCATTTCACATTTCTTTCTTGCTATTAAGCAAAAATGTTCAAGATCAAGACCAAAATTATTTAATTATGAAGAACTTTTTCTTTAGATGGGTCATACTATTTCAGCTCAGGTAGGCCTCAAACCACTATTAAGGCCAGGCTGGCTTCAAACGTAATCCTCTTGTCTGAGCCTCCAGAAGTGCTGAGATACAGGCATACACCACCACCCCCAGTTTAGACTATTATTTTAAAAAGTTATTAAGATGATAAAATTAAATAGCACATTAGTGAAAATGGAGGATTTTTTCAAAGACTCTAACTTTAAGTTCTTCTGACTTTTATGTAAAGTCCACTTGCTTACCTTTAACATTCAAAAGTTTTTTAATAACAGCCTTCTAAAATACATGCACAAATCTTAGTTTCCAAAAATATAACAAAATGTAATAGGCCAAAAGAGTGTAATGGAACATGAGAGTGGAAAAAGAAATTGACTTTAAGTACATCTGCAAATCATTTTCCTTGGATTTTAGCATTCTTTTTTCCTTGGCACTGGGGTGCTTGAACTCAGCGGCCTTTAATGCTTTGCTAGACAGGCGCTCTACCACTTGAAGCCACTCCCACCAGCCTCCTCAGTACTTTTTTAAACTTAAATATGGCAAAGTAACAAACTGATATGGATTACTCACATTTGGTAACGTGATTGGACCTCTAAAAATTGGCCAGTTATATATAATAATCTTTAAAATGAGGTGTTAAGGGATATTAAAATTATATTAATTTCTTCCTGCAAAAGCTTTAGTTTTGTAGAACCAGGCACACTGCTAAAACAATCACTTTGAACCACACAATATATTATGCCTTTATGTTTTATACTTAAATGTGCCCTCTAAAAATAAAAATTTATCTTTAATCCAAAGCAAAAACTCTAAAATACATGCACAATCTTAGTTTCCAAAAATATAACAGAAATGTAATAGGCCAAAAGAGTGTAATGGAACATGAGAGTGAAAAGAAAGTGACTTAAGTACATCTGCAAATCATTTTCCTTGTGATTTTTTTAGCATTCTTTTTTTCCTGGCACTGGGGCTTGAACTCAGGGCCTTATGCTTGCTAGACAGGCGCTCTACCACTTGAGCCACTCCAGCCAGTCCTCCTCAGTATTTTTTAAACTTAAATATGGCAAAGTAACAGAAACTGATGGGATTACTCAGCATTTGGGGTTAACGTGATGGAGCCTCTAAAATGGCCAGTTATAAATATCTTAAAATGAGGTGTTAAGGATATTAAAATTATATTAATTGTCTTCCTGGCAAAAGCTTAGTTAGTTAGAACCAGGCACACTGCTAAAACAATCACTTTGAACCACACAATATATTATGCCTTTATGTTTATACTTAAATGTGCCTCTAAATAAAAATTTATCTTTAATCCAAAGCAAAAAAGTTTTTAAAAAAAATTAAATACATACTAGGCACTCCACTGGGAACTGAGATGAAAAGATAAGTAAGATGAGGTTCTTACCCTCAAAGGATTAGGTATAACTTATCTACATACACAGTTAATTTCAGTAAACACCTACAAAAATGGTAACAGCATGATATGATGCTATCATCACGCCACAGGACCGTATGACTCAAGATTTAGTATAACTATCTACATACACAGTTAATTTCAGTAAACACCTACAAAAATGGAACAGCATGATATGATGCTATCATCACGCCACAGGACTGTATGACTCAAGGCAAGAGAATCAGGAAAGATTACCTGAGAAGACAAATCTTGAAGAATCTTAAATGTTTTTGGTATTTGAGGAAAACTTACTAATTTCTAATATAAATTATATTCTATCTATGAGGAAAAAAGAAACTGCCTATAGTTTTTCCTAATTATTTTAATTTGTTCTCAGTACATAATCATCTCCTACTAATTGTGATTTCTTCAATTTTCTCTGGAAAACACTATCTGTAACTAAGCAGTTGTTAGTAAATCACATTTATTTAATATTATTCACATACTTAATCACAACTTACTCAAATTCTCGCTGCTCCACTGTTAAATAATTCTCTTGTTCTATTGTCTTGAAACTGTCTTACATTAAGCTCTCATGTTAGTCCTGAGATTCATTCCTATTGTAACAGAGAAAAGAAAGAACACCAAGCAGTACTGTAACAAGGTTTTTCCTCCTGGTGGTTTAAGTGAACTTTACTTTTTTCATTATTATAAACAGCTAACTGGTACTATTTTCTGCGTCAGAGAACAGTTCTACCTAGCCTTGAGTCTCAAAATTCTAGTTCTACAGTTACCTTATTTAAATTCAAACACATCCTTTTTTTTCTGGGAAGTAAATACATACTTTTTCCTAGGAATTAGGAAAACTTCTGTCACAAATATAACTATTTCTAGATGGTAAGAATATTTAACAATACTGGATATTCTTTAACACTACTGGGCTGGAGGTGTGGCTTCACGTGTTGAGGACCTGAGTCTAAACCCCATTAATGTGTAAATAAATAAATATCCCATAGAATCAGAATATGTCTTAAACCAAATTTTACAAAGTACTTTACATAATAAGTAGGACGATCCCTCCATCTGGCGCAATGAATTTACTGACTCTTCTATCGATAAACACACAGGTACTTCAAGTTCAAAAACACATGCATATATATTTAACAAGTATAGAATCATTACCATATCTCAGCTGTCCTGGGGTGGGTGGAAGAGCTTCCAATTTTTCTAAAGGAAAAAAAGGGTGTGGAGCAAGAATCAGTTATCATAGCATGACTTTTTTTTTATTACAATGAAGAAAATACCAGACTTACAAAATGAGAGATTAGAGATTACTTATAAATATATTTAGGTTAGTTAACCAAAGCTATCAATTTAAAAGAATATCAATTGGTATGGATTAAATTACAAGTAAGCAACTAAAACTGAGCTTAGTTATAAGCCAACCCACACTCTATAGCACTGGGTTTTTCTTTTTTAAGTCCTTGTGAACCCTTGTGAATCCATTTTGTGTTAACTATAACAGAACAAAAAAAACAGTTCAAAAACATAGCTACTAGTCTTTAAATTGAAAGTCTAGATGATTTAAGAAATATAAATAAATATTGATAGTAGGAAAAAGTATTCAAATACACATAGGTATCTTTTGAGAATAGGACAATTTTTTAAAAGCATTGTAATCACATTGATGATTTTAACTGGTTTGAGTTTTTTAACTAATTCTACTTGATAATATACTTAATATTTTGATTTTTTAAATCTATACTATTGGGAAAAAGAGCATTCTACACAATACAACAATCCCCCAAAAGTACCAGTGGTATTCAAAAATGATAAATAACGCAGTATTTGTAACATACAGTACGAACAGTATACTTTCCCAAGTATTAACCAAAGTATCTGTAAGTATCACCATTATGTTATAAAAATTAACAATTATTACAAAAAAGCAACCTGCTAGTCTTACAGTAAGAACCATCAACCATTTGTATAAATTTAAATGATTGATAAATGTAACTCTTCTTCCTCATTCCAATCTAATATGAATTAATTAATAATACATAGAGTAGAGCATATACAGTGGACCACACTCCTCTAAAGATCTGACACAACCATGTTGTCCAAGACAACATATTACAAACTGGATAAGAATTTTAAAAAAGAAATGCTAGCCTGCAGGAATTTCACATTTCATTTTCAGATTAGCACTATTACCTCAAAATTTGCTTTGAAAGCATGCAAAGGTTTTTCTAAACTTTTAACCAGCAGGTAGGGCACCAGTGTACTCCAAAGATGGTGAAGCTATTCTCCATCCTCACTACAGTTCTGACATGGTGGGGAGAAGTTCTTGTCAGTTGATGGGAATACTGAAATACCTAAAAAATTCAACAAGGAGGACCTTTGCAATAGTGTGAGAGAGAATACAGGTCCTTGCTTTTTTACTTCTTCAAATTCCCACACATTGAGCGAAAATACTCAAAATATCACAACTCCTGAGAAGAAAAGGATAAAAACTAGGAAATGGGTAATCTGTAGTGTGTGGGGAAATATGCAGAATCAGTGTTTTCTAGTCTTTCTACTACAAACAAGGGTTAATGACTAAAGGTAATGAGAACTTTAAGAGAAAAGTCGTGAAGGCAACAGAAAGTCGTGAAGTTTTAAAGAAAGTAACCTATTCCAAAATTTTAATTCATAAATTGGTCACATTGAAGCCTCTGCCACTATCTTCTTTAGTTTATCTGTTGAATCAAAACAAAGCCTATCAGGAGTCAAAGAAAAACATTAGCTGTATGGTCACAGAATTTGAACATAATCCAAGCCACCTGTATGGCTACTATTATAACCTCTGTGAAACCATCACAATAAACTCCAGAAGTTTTTCTTTCCCCATGTGTATATGTATGTCTTAGTTCTAGTTCAGTACTGGGGCTTGAACCCAGGACTTTATGCTTGCTGCTATGCATGTGCTCTACCACTTGAAGCCACACACCAGGAACTCTACCCCATGCACATTTATTTGACACTAAAATTTTCTCTTGAAATTGGTACATTATCCATATATGTTAAATATGTACACCATACTTTCTCCCTTTTCAGGATTTTATTTATTCATATGTGCAATTTCTCCCCCCCTCCGTACCTCCCATCCCCTCCTTCTCCCCCCACTCCCCTTTCTCTTTCAGGGTATTTTTAAGTAATGAGAAAACTATTAAGATTGTACTTCATTGCACCAATTTTGCTAACAACTTTTTAGCTCAAAAATTTCTGGTTCTTCGGGAGATGGGCTAAGTACTTTTTATCAAAATCAGCTCTCCTGACATAACTATAAACTATAGATAATAAACAATAAACAATTTCCCTCAAAACACTGGAAACTGAACAAACAGGTAGATTCTGAAGGAAATCAACACCTCAAAGAAATGGCACCAGAGTGAGTTAGTTACCTGTCTGCTGTAAGTTAGCTAAGGGCCCAATCACAACACGCAGACCAAATAAAACTAAAAGAATCCCTGTCGTTCTGCCTGAAGAACAGAGGACAGGTGCCAGGTAACCAAAGCCAAGGAAAGAAACAGGGACACTAATGGAAAAAGAAAAGTCAGAAAAGGAAGTCTGGAACTTCCATGTTTGACTCAGTTCAGAGCCACTCCTGATCTTATGAAATGCACATGTCAGAGGGAACTCCCAAAATTCCAGTTAAGGGTAAAATGAATGGAGATTTGACTTGCACTGGAAAGACGATGGTTGAGCCAATCATTAATTGTCTATTAAAACAAACAAAAATCAGAAGAATTAAACTGAATCCAGAATCTCAACATAGTAAACAGCAATGATGAGGAAAGTATACAGTCCAAAATTACATCATAACAAAATAGAAAATGTGACACACTTTTAGAAGAAATTATAATAGACAGACACTAATTCTGACCTGATTCAAACATGAGAGATTAGCAAAGACTTAAAGCAGAAAGCAATTAACATCATATTCAAAAATATAAATACATGACAGCATAGGAAGTCTCAGCAGAGATACAGAAACTATAAAAAGAACCATAATAAGTTCTAAAACTTAAAAAAATCTGTAATTGTAAATGTAAGTAGATAGGCTTAAAAGCAGAAAAAAAATTGAATAAAACTAGATAAAAGTTTCCCAAATTTGGTACACGACAAAAATTTCAAAAGATTCAAGAAGGTCAATGAACTCTCAAGTAGAAGAAATGAAGAAAATCAGTGATAAAAAGAGGACATTAATTACAGGAGAACAATTATTTGAATATGTAGAAAGTAAAAAAAAGTGTCAATCCAAATTTCTATATCCAAAAAACTATCCTCAAGAATGAAGGCAAGGCAAGAATTACGGGTGTTGTAGACCATTCCAGTAATTCCACCTACTTGGGAGGAATGAAGGGAGCGGCCGTGCAGCTCAAGCAAAAAGTTAGCAAGACCTCCCATCTCAGCCAATAAGCTGACATAGTAGCACATACATACCTGTAATCTCAACTACATGGAAGCAATAGGTAAAAGGATTACCGTCCAAGGCTGATCTGAGGCAAAAATGCAAGACCCATCCAAAACATAACTAAAGCAAAACAGAACCCATAGGCTCCCAGGGCATGGCTCAAGTGGTGAGCACCTACCTAGCAAGTGAGTTCAAACTCAAATACCACAAAAAGCATTGAAAAAAAAAAGTGGAAGGCAAAATGTATCCCAGATAACTAAAACTATAAGAATGTGTTACCAGCCAACGTAAGATTTAGGAAAATGCAAAATAAATTATTTAGATTGAAGGGAAATAACTAGTTAGGAAATAAGATCTAAGAAAGAAATGAAGAGTATCAGAATGAGAATTTCTAGATAAATATAAAAGATTACTTTTTTCCTAGTAATGTAGTTTAGATAGATAATGATAATCGAAGCAAAAATTATATAATTGTAACTTTCTAGAGTTATATACTATGTGAATGGAATACACAAAGAAGGAAGGGACTGGGCATGGTGGTATACACCTATAATCCAGCACTTGGGAGGCAGAAGCAGGAGGATGGTGAGTCAAAACCAAGTCTAGATTACAAAGAGATTTAGCTGAGGATTTGGCTCAAGTGGTAAGCACCTGCTTAGCAAGTACAAGCCCCTGAGTTCAAATCCCAGCATGGCAAAAAAAAAAAGAGAGAGAGAGAAATAGCTTACAAAGAGATTTGTAAGGCCAACCTGGGATACACAATAAGACCCTGTGTCAAAAAAAAAACAAAATGAAGTGGGGGTGACAATGAACCAAATTGGTACTTTAGTTGCAATAATAGCTATGATATACATGAAGTAACACAGTATTAGCTACAAAAACGTCTGCAAAAACTTAAAAATGCATATAATAATCCTTACAGTACCACACATACAGACACAATACAAAGATGACACAGGTGAAAAGCTAAAAAATAACCTGAAGGGGAATTCTAAAAATATTCAATTAAGTTAAAAGAATATAAGAACACAGGAATAAAAAGGGACAAAGAGAAACACCAAATAATACAAAACAATAAACTTATATCCAACCACACTAATAATTACAATAAAACAGAAAACAATAAAGGATACATGCAAAAGTTTTATAAAAAAAACTAACAATATTAATAAACCCCTAGTTATGTTAATCAAGAACAGAGAGCTGAGAAGTGGTGGTGCACACCTGAAATCAAGCATTTGTGAGGCTAAGAAGAAAGGATCAAGAGTTTGAGGCCCGCCTGGACTACATAACAAGGAAGGAATGAAGGAAGGTAGGGAAGGAGAGGGGGAGGGAGAGGGGGAGGGGAGAGGAGGGAGGGAGGGGAAGGAGGAAAGAAGGAAGGAAGAAGGAAACCAATTACAAGTATAAGGAATGAAAGAAAGGACATCACTATAGATTCTGCAGATATTAAAAAAGGATAAGAAAATACTATGTGTAAATTTCAAGTTCACAAAATAGGACAATTTAATTGAAATGGACAAATTCCTTCAAAATACAACTTAGCAAAACTGAGATAAGACTTTTTAAAAACAAAAACTGAAGAGCTCTACTAACAAAACTGAATGCTAACAAACACCTTTACACATGCACGCATGCATGCCAACACATTACACGACCCTTCCAGCCCCAGATGGTTTCACTCTGGTGATTCTATCAAAATATTTAAAGAAGAAAAAATACCAATCTTACACAAACTCTGAGCTCACCTAAAAAAACAGCAGAGGAGTGT